CACCACCACTACCCCTACCACCACTAGTACCGCTACTACCACTCCCAAAGCGAATAGCAATACTAGTGCCATTAATCATACTAGCACTAATGCCACTGCTTGTACTGTTACTCATACTTATAGTCTTTCTCATACTGATACTTGTCTGGTTCTACTGCTGATACCGTTTCTGCTACTGTTACTGAAACTATTACCAATGTTGGTGCTAATACTGGTGTGCGGTTACTGCTGTTGCCCAGCTGGTTTGTACAGGAGTTTTCATTCAATCCGCAAGCCCGGAGCCAAGCTCTTTTCAGCACACTTCGTAGTTTTCAGGATCTCTGCCTGACGCAGTCGCAGTCTTCGCAGCCGTTGCATCAGCCCGAAACTCCTTTGCCAAATTCATCCCTCAGTCTCTTGTTTCTTGCACTGACATAGCCTATCTCCATCATCTTGCTTCAGGCCGCGACGTTTACGCCCACCAACGCTGCTGTGGCACAGCGTTCGGAGTCGAAGACCAGCGCTTCCCAAGGAGTGGACAGATCCTTTCGAGTCTGGTGTTCTTTGTTTTTCACCATTCCGGCTGCTGAGTTCACCGTTACCGTCGGAGTTTAACAGAACCCGTGACCCGAAATGGAAGGACCCCTGTTCGTAGCACCGTCGACCTTGCATGGTGGATGTGGAGAGGAGCGAGGAAGAACGACTCAGCACCTGCGCACACTGAAAAAGCGATGGTCAGGACCTTACGATTTCAAACTATTTCAATCATTCCGGAGTCGTAAGAATCGCAGCAACAACATTGGCAGTAACAATAATTAAGAATTTCAGAAGGTTCATAATGACAAGAATCAGAGTAGTACTGAGAGCAGTCATAATCAACAAGCCACAGATACAATCGGAGCATCGGCCGAGGTTCAGATGTAAGGTCACCGCACACTCGCAGCACTTCAAATTCTTAGTCTGCACTTTGGGCATCTCAGCCCGCGACAGCAAGAATTGTGCCTGCAAATGTCGCTGACAGCACCGTTCTCTCAGCACGCGGGAAGCAGCACTCTCTGAAGAGGCAGGCATCGGTGTTTGGCCTTTGGCCGGATTGCGTCAGTTGCCTTGTGCGGACTGGCAGATCATTTTGAAAGCTTGGAGCTGCCCTTTCCACTTCAAGGCACCTGGGCCAGTGAACAACTCAGCGGCCTCTCGTCAGCCGACGCTCGTCTGAAGTAAGTCCCAGTTGCTCTCACGTCTGAGAGCCGGGTGGAGCTGCGGGGTACTGCTGCGAGAAGGATGATCCCAAGTGTTCTAACCGCTTCTCATTCGGATTTCAAGGAGGAACTTGGTTGCGAGCATATTGTCAACACAGCACTCCTTAAAGGTGCCTAAAACACAAAACCCTAAACCCTCACACCCACGCTGCTCAGGACCAAGTCGTTTGCCGAGTTTTTAAAGCCAGCCCCAGCCTCAGAGTGAAAGAGAAACCTGGTAAAAAGAACTAGGGTTCAGGGTTTAGGGTT